CCCATGCTGGCACAGCTCCACCTGCAGCACACCCTGGTGACAACAGGAAGCCAACAAACAAACATAAACATGCTGTGACCAGAAACCAGGAGCTGCAGACACAGCTCGCAACAAGCTCACTTTTGCTGTTCAGAAATGTGTTTTGTCACTGCAACGAAGAACTCCCCTGGCCAGGCCAATATGCTCCCTAGGCAGCTGTGCTGGGCAGGCAGGGGCTGGCCTGGAGCTCCTGAGCTGAAAAGACTGTCAGAAGTCTTATTTCTGTTATTTATAAAACCAAGCTTATAGTGAATTTAAACCAAACTGAAATACATCTGGTGTAAGGCAAAAAAAAAAAAAAAAACAAAAAAGCAAGTCCATGCACCTAAAGCACTGCTCTTTTCCTACATTGACATAGCAGATAAACCAGTGCAGCTTTCTGGTGTGCCCCAGGTCAATGCTAACTTCACCCTCCTTCCCTCAGCAGCATTTGGCAGAACTGAGCACATAGTTCTTCTCTGGTCCTGTGTGGAATACAGAAAATGAATTGAAGATAATGACCTTTTTCACCTGCAGGAACAGGAGTCAGATACTGACAACTATGCTACAGTCTCCAATATTTGTAAACCTGAACACAAAACCTATCAGCTGTATTTCTGCCAGAGGTAACACAGACTAACTCAAACTTAGCACAGGAGAAGGACAAACTTTCTGCTGTTTTATTCCACCTACAGCAGCCTGCTCTAGTGGGGCTTGGAGCTGGATAGTCTTTACGGCCTCTTCCAACCCAGACCATTCTGTGATTCTGTGACTCAATTCCACTTTCTTGCCCCTTATGTAATGTAAGCAGCAAAATTATCTCCTTGTTTCTTTTAGGCATTGTATAAGTACAATATATCTCTTTTAAAATCTTGCCCTTACTACTGCAGGGGAACTTTAAGTTCTCCCTCCTCCTTCCCAACATCACTTGATCCTGACTTTTCCCACAGGACGTCCATCTTGATGACATGAAACGGTTTTACTATCACAAAGTAATGGAGCATGTTGAATAGGTTATCCAAGAACAGCTTTCACAGACAAAAACAGGAACACATACAAGCAAAAATCCTCAGGATTTTTGACAGCAAGGACATGGTAAGAAAACAGGACACTTGATAGCAAGCCAATTGTTTTTTTTTGTTTGTTTGTTTTTGTTTTTTTTTTTGCATTAATAGAAGCTCTAAAAGATGAGCATTGTTAAGGTCTTTAAATCCTGAAAATGCAAACACACACTGCTATGAATTCAGCCCACCTGAACTTTGAATTATTTAGTAACAGCTCTGCAAGCAGAAATTTATAGTTTCCAATGCAGATGATCACAGTCCAGCCCTCCTCTGTTGCTAGAGCAGTGAGCACAGGCCCTCTGACAACACAGAAATACTGGCTAAATGCCACTGAGGATGCACTACAGCAGCAGTACAGCAATGTCAGCAGCCTGCTGACCAAAGGCAACTCTGTTTTATATTGATAGAATGGCTCACAGCAGAGATATGCAGTATCAGCAGAACCTGTCACAAGTAAAAATTCCAGTAAGCAATCTTTTAGGCTTTACAGTTCCGAATGGGCAGCACAGACTTGGCACAAAACACCTACCCACTGCTTTTCTTCTGAAGAGGAGATCCTGAATGTTGCCATAGTCTCATCCTTTTTTTTGCCTTAAGCAATAAGAAGCCTACATAAATTCAGCTTCATTTCTGTGTTAAAAGTAATACCAGAATTGACTGCAAATTATAAGCAAATGTAGATGTTCTTAGGACTTGTGTTCTAATTCAAGAGATCAGCTTAAACCATTCTGAAAAGGACCATCTCACATGTTGTGTGCACATGTATATCTCATCATATAAAATATCAGTGTGTATACATACGTTATAAATAAAACCATGAGCAAACTAGTACTAAGCAGCTAATAACATTTCTAATAACAGCATACAGCATGAAGTAGCTAACATACCACCTACATACAGCTACAGACCCCTGCATTCTCCATTGCAAACTAATGAAACTTTAACTCCAATAGCTATGCAGCCCCAAGTCACGGCTGTTGTATCTCCACCACCTCTCAGAAGCACAGCTCCCATACCTTTGTCACACTGACAGACGAAGAGCAGACCAACCTGACGCAGGGCAAGCAGCCCAGCTCCCTGAGAACTCCATTAAGGTTTTCTGCTCCTGATTCACTGTGCTTGACAATGGACCAGAACTGCACACAGAAATCCAGGCAGGCAGCCCTCAGTCCATCTAACAGTAACAGTAATGCTTCCCCAACGCATATTAAGACTGCATTCAGCTCTTTCACACCCACAAGCCTTTAGCAGTCCACTTTCAGTTATTGTGAATAGTTTTTCTCCTCTTCATCTCTCAAACTTCTCTCACTTGAAAATACTCACATAGAATAACAGAAAGTTGTTACCAGCCCCCAGCCTTCTATAAAGTACCCTTTACAAATAAATTTGATGCATTTCTTGAACAGTCACCTACCTGTGCCATTAGGAGTTAAGTAATTACCAATTAGCAAACACAGCATTAGTATCTAACATTGACAAACAAAGTAGTTGCCATTCAAAGGTAATATGTAAGCTGCAATCTTCCGTAACTAGGAAAAAAGTGACCAAAGGCAAACACCATGTTTAAAAGCAGGTTACTTCAGCTGTACCTTCACGTGTCACACTTAAAGACATTTCCCACTCCCCTTCTTACCAAGGCATTTCATAATGCTTAACATGGAAATTATCTAGCCGAGGCAGAAGAGAAAGCAAATCATTTAAGAATCACTTAAAGTGAGCTGAGAGGAAAAACCAAGGATCTGTAGCTTGTTTTACAGACTAAAACATCTCTTCCACAGAACTCACATATTTCACCATTTCTCATCTGTTTTCTCAAGGACTTAATGATCTTGCATACAACAGTTGTAACTGCATTATAACATCATAAAGCTGTGTGGAATGGCAGGGGTTGGTGGAGGATTTTGGGGTAAAGGTTCTCTTTGAGATAAGAATCCAAGCATCAAGTTCCACTGGTGACATAGGGTTTGTGTATTTTGGTAACAACTGACTAACCATAACTGAGTTTTAAAGGTAGCACCTAACGAAGAAGATGGGATGAAACAATTACTTCTATCTGTCACAAGAGAGAACTTGATATAAAAGCTCTTCTGCAGCAGAGCTAGGACAAACCAACACACAGCTAGGAAGGGAGGCACTGCACCCTGCAGACCAACACGAAGCTCCTGCTGCTGTGAGTGATGAGCAGCATGCAGGGACCAGACATGTCTCCCAGTACCAGACCTCAATGCAATCTCCATTCCTTCACCTCTCACTTTCACCAGTTACCTGGACAGCAGACAATCTGCTCCACCTACAAACAGCCAAACTATCTACAAACTGACATCCACTGAACGTGCCAGAATGAGTTGTTTAATACTGATGTTGCTCATTTTTATCTGAGCATTTACAAAGATATAGTCTAACCTGGTAGCCTTTGCTCCACTGCAGTTCCACCAATTCCAGGCATAACAAAGTGAGCTTAGCATACCTTAGCCTCTGTGAAAGACAATTACATTTCAGCACACCAACAGACAAAAACGTTGCTCAAAACAACCATTATATGCCCATCCTACACAAATGAACCAAACATGGGTTTTCCAAGCAGCTTCCTTAGGTAGCAACCCGATTCTTTACGCTAAAACTCATGCAAAGATTTTAGAAACCAACCAAAACATCACATGCTCAGAACCACGCCTCACCACAAAACAGTTTCTCTACGGAGGTTTTGTCTCTACCAAGACCCCTGCTATTCAAGAAGGCTGAGATTCAGCACGCCATGCCAACCCCAGCAGCATCTGACTCTGCCCATCTCAGACTGCCTGCACACAAAGCACAACTTTCATGCTCATCATCCCTGAGGCATTCCAGTCAAACACTGCAGACTAGCTCCAACACTGTGACTTCTGTTAATTAGCCTTCTGTCTCCATATGTTCTGACACACTCATTCTATCAGCATTTGATAACACAATGGCAAACTAACAAGCTTCAGACACCACATTCATAGCAGAACTAAACGAGACCAGCGCACGCGTAATGCTGGCAAGAATTAAGATAAGGGCCTCTGGGAAGTAACTCGCAGAGCTGTGTTTCAGTCTTGATTTACGTTTGGGTCCCTGAGTACCAGTCAGAAGGTGGAAACTGTCATTCATGCTCCTTTACACATTATAACTCCTATTAAATCACACAAAACACAAGTCTGAACGATGCCAGTCCAAATAGCTTTTAACTAAGTTTACCAGCTAACTTTATTGTGGATATGATTGCTGCCCAGAGTCATTTTCCCGCACTCTCTATCCAGACCGCAGATTCACCTTCCCTTACGTTAAAGCTAAATGTTCAGAGACATTTGCTTCATAACAGTGCCTTACAGGAGATGCACTCTGCACAGCAAGTACCGGCGGGGGCAAGTGACTGCTCAGGTGTAGCCATTGAGAAATGCTGGGGCACGGACCCCCAGCCAGCTCTCCTCAGGACGCATAGAGGACTTTCCTTCGCTCTCACGACGCAGGGAAGGCACCTCCTCTCCCCCTCCCACGTCCCGCCAACCGTCCCAGTATTCCCCATGCCACCCCGCGCACGACCGCCCAGCAGCAGGGGCGGGACGAGACCCTTCGAGCGCCCGGACGCGCCCGCGGAGCGCCGGCTCGGGGAGCACGGCCGCGGGATCCCACTGCCCGGCGGCGCCGCCTGCCGCGGACGGCCGCCGGCAGCTCAGGCGCGGAAGCCTCCCGCCCGGGGCCGCCGCTCGTTCGCCCCCGTTCCGCCCCGGGCTCCCGCGAGTCCCGGCGGCAGGCGCCTCGCCGCCTCCGAGCGCCCCGCGGCAGGTGCCGCCCTCCCCGCCGCCCCCCGCTGGCAGGTGATAGCCCGGACGCGCCGCGCCGCCAGGGGCGACCCCGGCGGCGGAAGGAGGGCCCGGGACGGGGCCCGGCGGCACTTACAGCCGTTTCTCCTGAGGCTGCAGCTGCCGGTGCATGGCCAGCGAGAAACCGAAGAGGCTGCCCGGCTCCCCGCGCCGGCCGATCACGTTCTCCGCGTCCAGGTTGAAGGCGCCGACCAGCCCCGGCAGCAGGGGCAGGTAGAGGAGGAGCGCGGCCGCCATCTGCTCCGGCCGGCACGAGAACCTGCCGCCCAGCGCCGCCGCTCCCTCCGCGCCCGTCGCACCGCGCCGTGCCGTTCCCCGCCCCGCCCTCCTCCCCGCGGGCGGCCCGGCCCCCCGAGCGGCGCTCGCGCCTCGCGCCGCTGCAGCGGGGGCGGCGCAAAATGTCGGTCGGGTGCGGGGCGCCGCCCTGCAGGAAGCACGGCTCGCCGCGCCCCGGCCCCGCGCTTTGAACGCAGAAAAGCCTGCCGGCGGGCGGGCAACCGCGGAACCCGAGCACGGTGCGGGAGCGGCGGCGGTCCGGGGAAGGCGCGGCGCCGTGCCCCCAGGGCGGCCGCGTGCGTCGCACCTTGCCGGAACGCGCCGCGCTCCTGCGCTCCCCTGTCACGTGCGTTAGGGAGGTCCGCGCTCCTTGGAGATTCTTCAGACAGCGCACTCGTTCCTTCACAGCATTTCTTATCCTTAAAACAGATTTCTTATCCGTACACTTCGTTTGAAAACAATATTTTCCCTCCTGCTCTCACCCCTAACTGGAAAGTGGAGCTGTGAGCATACCTTAGCACAGCCCTGCACACAGGAGTCGGTCTGTAACCCAGGCGCGGCTCAGGGCCGTGCCTTAGGGGAGCCATCAAAGGACTTTAACACCTGACAAATGCCAACAGCAGCACAATGCTCGTTTTCCTGCGGTATCTGAGACAGGAACAGAAGAGCTTCTCTTCACACAAAAGGTTCCAGAAAAGAGGGATAAAGCAAAAAGAATAAAAGAGCAATTGTGCTCTCACACATTGGTATTCCAAATAATTTCTGCTGGGACAATGCTGCGCTCCCTCGGAGTTAATCCATCTACTTTCTGCAGAGTAATTACTGTAGTGTAACTCCGTGTATAGACAAGTCTTTGGCTCAGGACCAAAATAAACTTGATCAAAAGAGCAGAAAACACACCAGAAATGTGCATCTAACATGCAAACAAAACATGCTGTTCAGTCAGATAGTTACTGCTAACAGGAACCGTCCCTGCAGGCTCCTGGTGCTTCACTCACAGCCTTAATCCCACGTCCCATCGCTGTGCAGACACAGCTGTGGCAGAAGCACTGCTCCAGGTTTAGCTGCAGGCACACAGAAGGAAGGTCTCTGACTAATTACTACAAAGCAGGCTTACTGCAATCCGTGCATTTCACAGACATTAGCAAAGATCTGAAAACAAGTCTTTTTAAATGCTGTTGATGTCTGTACCGAGATCTGAGCAGCATGCCCTTCAGGACCACTTAAGTGTGTATCCTCTTGACACTTGTGCAGTAGCTATAGTTACTCGTTCAGTAATACTCGTGCTGTTAGGAGTCACAAAGCGCTGCCATCCCGTGCACCACCACACACCACGTGAACAATTCTGGCAGGAGCTCCCTCTCTCCACCAGCACTGCCTGGGCACGTTGCTCTGCTTCGTTACCTACAGACTTCGCTGAGGGAAAACCGTTCTACTCTCCAGAGGCAGCACATGGTTACACTAAAGACTGTCTCAAACAACCACGGCAGGAACAAGAACGGACTGCACAAACAGTTTGGATGGTCTCTTGTCATTTTGTACTGTTATAACGTGTTACATGTGAGGAAAGGGTAATGAAAATCTGAACCAAAAAAAGCCCATTTCCTTCTTTCACTCTTCCTCCAAAAACCCCACACACTGTGGGTTATCAATAACTCTCACATACCTCAGCAATTCCTCTTCTGCACCACCTACAGGTAAGGGGGCACCAACGCTAGCTACAGCAGTGAGTTAAGCAGCTCCTCTGCTATGCATAACTTGGCAGCTCTAAGAAAGGTGGTGGCCAGATCAAAGCAGAGTTTCTTTTTAATCACAAATACTTTGCCATAGCCTAGTTCAAGCTGGCTGCCTATTACTGGCATGCTGGTACTCAGTCAGAAGCGTTCACCTGCTGTGTCCATGTATTGAGCAAGCCTTTGTGCCAGCAATAATTTCCTCCTGCATACAACTGCACAATTAATTACAAAGGATTAAAAAGAAATAAATAAAAATCTGGAAAATAGAAGAGGTGAGATGGAAAAGCTGCAGCTTGGCAAGATGTTTTAGGCTTTCCCTAGGGGGAGGACAAGGAACAATGCTTTGCATTTCTGAACTTCTATCATTTATATTAGCAAAACTTACCATGCACAGCAGAACATAGAACTTGTGGTGCTCAGCTGTGCAGCCTTAACGCAGCATATTGGATGGTCCCAAAAAGCCAAGATAGGCAAACAACCCCTTCACATTTCATCATTAAACACTTACACCTTTCACACTACAAAGTTGTTTCAGTTCCAAAGCTGAAACTAGCTGTAAGAGCTATTAGCCTGCACCAACCTTCTGGATGGCTCCTGCTGAACGCAGTGCACACAGCGCAGAACCACTCCATCCTCCACATTGTTACTGAAAGGACACATCCCACCATCTACAGCAAGCAGTTGAATGTTTACGCAGCCAAGCTGCTGGGTTATTCACACTAGTGTATCCTCACAGCCTCTACAGGTCTGCGTCAAAGAGGAGGTTATAGAATGAGCAAACAGCAGTGCAGGAGATAAACTGCTCAGTGTAATAGAAACAAAAAGTTACAGCAGTCAAGAAACCAGAGAGTTTGAGTAGTTACATTGACACACTCCTTGTTATGAATCATAAGAATCAGTCTTGAATATCATTTGTAACTAAATGAAGATTGTCTCAATCTCTTTTACCACCTTTCCAGAAAGATTCTTAAAAAAGCTCTTAAAAAAAAAAAAAAAAATCAGGTATCTTCAGTTCCTGATTAAGGTGTTAGTTTTTACAACTTATTTTTTTCTGTTCAGAGCCTGAAACTGACAATTCTGCCATTGCATACGTTTGCAAAAGTAAGAACTTTGCCTCTGCAGATAAATTGTTTAGAATTAGATATATTTCACACTTATTAAGTCATTAAGTCAGACTTTCAGCATTTACTGTCATACTTTTAACATTATGCTTATAGACAATATACCAATACATTTTAGCTGAAAGAAAAAATTTCTGTCCAGATTCAGAAGTTTGGCTGACACTGCAACCCATGTTACACAGCAGGTCTTTAAGCTTTTTAGAAGAGAATAGTTTTTCACCCACCCCAGCTGTCAGGTGCATTCCTTCGGCAGTTTCAGAATGACCAGCCCAGGCTGTTTGGAGTGTAAACATCTCTGTAAGCATTCCAGGAGGAACCTTCAGCACGTAACTAGGCAGAGATCGGAGAATGCTGGTGACAGGTGTCACCTAGACACCATAGTTTGGATTGCTAGGGAAGGAATTCAAGATGTTTCTTCAAAATTACTGGTAACTGAGGCACGAAACCACAGTCATTGTGACATATTCCTGTATTCTAATTTGCTGGTCACATACTGGGGGTATCTTATCTAGCACTGGAGGGTAGCCTAAGCTTAGACCTTTTTATACAGAGTATAGACCCCTTTGAGGAGGAAAGGGGAAGATTTAGAAACATAGAATTCATAGGACCTTCCTGGAAACTGTCCCCAGGAACTAGAGAAGAAAGTTAAATCCTCATGGGACATGTTTTAACTCCATCAAGAAAACAACCAAAAAAAAAAAAAAAAAAAAGTCCACTACTTCAGACAAAGCATGTGTTCTTCTAGCTCACACAGACTGACTAAAGAGCTCACAGCCATCCCCCATAGCACAGCTCCCCACAGCCTTGGCAGCACTTACCTCCAAGAGCTGCAATGGGCTGCGCGCACAGGGCCCAGTCCTGTGCAATGTCTGCAAAACACCAGACCAGGAATTGTCACTGGAGGAATCTGCTCCACATCTCGACCTCTCCTGCTGTACTAATGCAGCGCTGCTGGGACCCCCAGCCACAAACTGGTGGAAGCAGCTCCTGGCTGCAGAACACACTTATATACACCTGCTGCCATCCATGGTTCTGGATTAGACCCAGCTGAGAAGGCAGCCACCTTGGGGGGCCAGGCACAGGCAGTTTGCACACAGGTTTCCGTGATCGATAAGAACCATGGAAAATAATAAATTTGTAAAATGCTGAATCACATCAGTTAGGGTTAATAAGAAATCTTTGCTCCCTAACAAAAATTGGAGTTTTTTTTATATCCACCAGCTCTAACAGTTCTGCAGTTGTGGTTATACAGCCACCTTATTCACATGCCAAGCCAACTGCCCACCACTGATTCAGCAGGAGCTGTTCCAGACACGTCCCAACGCAGCTTCCAGAGCCCTGGAGGCAAAGCCAGCAAAGGCTGCTTCTCTGGTCAAGGCAGGAGCCAGCAGCCTCTACTTTCCTTACTAAAAAGTAACCTCACTTCATTTTAAATAAAATCTAACAAATATATTCACTTTCCTCTTTAGATTAACATTCTGAAGAACAAACTGGACACGCTAGAGCTAAGCACCATCATTTTGTAACACTTTCTTTTGTGGTCTTTGTTTTTGTTTTGTGTTTTTACTTTCTTTGGATCACCACTGTAAAATACTTCTCTGAACAGTTTCTAGTTTGTATTAGTCTTAGTCTTCTAAATCAATACATAACAAATTCCATCTTTGATTATCTTAAGTCTCACTTGTAACACCCTCACTAATACAAATTTAAATCATGCAAAGGCTGAAGAGAAAGCCCAAAAATGAAGTGTGTGAATCTCGTCAGGATTTGGGCTACTGACTGAATGACAATCAAGCTGTTCTGTCTCCCTGCTTTACTTGGGTGTGAGAAGCACTTGTGTGAGCCCAGAACATGCTGTAGTTCTCCTGAGCTTCCTGCTGAGCAAAGCGCCCTTCTGCTTCCAGAGCTTCACATTATTAAACAGAAACAAAGGATTCTTTAACCTAAGTGCCAATCTACCTGCCGTGTACTTTTTATTACATGCAAAAACTATCAGATACTTTCACATTCTTCCTCATTTAGTCCAACAAATTAAGAAATTAGGAAAAAAAATAATCAAGGAAATCTGTTATCAAGAGTTTTTTTTTAAATGCCAGTTCTTTATCCAACTACTAAATGCATGCA